TTGTAGTTGCATTCACCATCCTTTGTCAGAATTCCAAAGGCATCTTGCGGGCTTGAAAAAGTTGGGGGGGGGGGCCTTGATGTAGAGCATACGATAACATGATGATGGGCTCTTTCAGCTAGCAATGGAAGCTCTAGGTTATGTCCAGTGAACAGAGTTTTCGTGCTCCAGCTCTCCATCCATCCCCCCTCCCAAAAAAAACCTGGCCTAATCTGGAGATCCCCAGGAATAACACTGGCATGATGTAGGGGCTTGCCTTGAGAAGGGATAAATTGGTGAAAATCCCCTTTCTTCTCCCTCCCTGCAGCAGTACCTTTTCACTGGCTGAAGCAAGTGTTTATTACAGCCCTGAGTTTCTTTTATTGCAGCTATTCTAGTTGGTGTTTTTTTTAAAGGGACCTGCAAGTTTCTGCATGTTTACTTGGAAGCAAGTCTAATTGAACTCAGTTCTTGTTAGGAGAGATGGTGGCTCTGTGGGACAGCATCTGCTTGACATGCAAAAGGTCCCAAGATCAATCCCTGGCATCTCCAGTTCAAAGGATCTGGTAGTAGGTCATGTGAAAGACCTGTTCCTGAGACACTGAAGAGCCACTGCCAGTCAGAGTGGACAATACTGACTAGACCAATAGTTTGATTCAGTATAAGGCAGCTTAATGTGTGTTCGTCTGTGTTTGGAAAAGAGTACCGGAGGGTTGCAACATGGCACTGATACAGAAGTCTACCATTGTGCATACTGATCTCTGAGCTGAGCAAAAGCATCTCTGTTTATCTCAATGCTGGCAGATTTGTGTTTACAGAAGTTTTCCAGATTCTGAAAGAATGAAGAACAATCCATGCTCATATTAAAGCTCCTGCATCTATATCAGCATCTTTACCTCATTTTGTCTTTCTCTTTCTTCTGGGTGCCGCATGATGGAGTGAGCTCCCATCTCTAGTTCCAGCTTCTGCCAACCTAGCAGTTCGAAAGCAAGAAATTGCAAGTAGATAAATAGGTACCACTTCGGTGGGAAGGTAACAGCGTTCCATGCGCCTTGGTGTTTAGTCATGCCGGCCACATGACCACGGAAACGTCTTCGGACAGCGCTGGCTCTTCGGCTTTGAAACAGAGATGAGCACTGCAACCCTAGAGTCGGATTCGACTGGCTTTTGAGCAAGGGAACCTTTACCTTTAATCCCCACAACTGGGGCTCTAGGTGATGTACAAAATTAAAACAATGAAAACCATAAGAACCATTTACAGCACATATTTTGGTCTTTCTTAATATAATGGTTTGTTCTGTAGTTTGTTTAGAAGCTGCAGACATGGAATGTGAAACAGATCTGATTTGTATTGAGCAGGCTGAAATAACTTCTATTCTATACTCTTAACCTGTGTTGCAGAATAGAATGCCCACTTTACCCATAGCCATTCATGTTGGATGCAGGGAGAAGCTCTGCACTCTTTAACCATCTTTGCAGGAGGTACATCAGGATTGTTGCATTAAACACAAAAATGTGAAAAGGAATAATTAACCCAGTCATCTCTTATCAGTTCCCTTCTACTTCTTCTCTGTTAAATACAATAATTTTGAGGTTATAAAACTGATTTCTGCAATGAAACGGGGGGAAATGCAGAGGAAAGTTCTGTTTTTAGAAATACACACTGCACATGCGTAGAGATCTGCCTTACCTGCTTTGGGTTTGATTCCACTTATTTTACTGCCTGTTCGTTTTAAATTATTTGAACAGTTTTCTTTAAACCAGAATAAAGAGACCTGCTGCTGCCTGAAACTATCTGAATGTCCTTGTGTGTCAACAAGACTGCAGAGCAGGACGGCAGAGTGAAGCTCTCTTCATCCCAGTCCACTTATTTTACTGCCTGTTCGTTTTAAATTATTTGAACAGTTTTCTTTAAACCAGAATAAAGAGACCTGCTGCTGCCTGAAACTATCTGAATTTCCTTGTGTGTCAACAAGACTGCAGAGCAGGACGGCAGAGTGAATGAAACCAAGTAGGAATTTCCAATTAGCAAAAAAATCAGTTGCAAAGAAAAACCAGAAAATTAAATTTACACCTCTGCATAAGTATGCACTTTTTGTACTGCTGAAAAGATTTCATATAGTTCAGACAATTTAAAACTAACTGTCAGTAAAATAAGTGGACTGGATGAATGGAGCTCTGAGTCTTGAAAGCTCATACCCCCAAAATCATACTGTTCTCTGATGTGCAATTGGTCTCAAATCTAGCTGTTCTACTGCAGACCTACATGGCTACCCTGTGAAACCAAATCCATGGCTGGCCACATGGGATGACTGAACTGTAAGAACATTAACCGGGGGTGGGTGGGTATGATTTTATTGATGTCAAGGCCAGGACTGTGGGCAGCAGGCTAAGATAACCAGCAGCAGGAAACGTCAAAGTGTAGGGAGGAACAACCAAGGGTAAAGTCATGGTGGAATGATCTCACCTGCAACTCCTCTTGGTGTGCTCCTTTGATCTCTGCTCACGGATACTAGGTACAGGTCCTTCGAAAAGCAGCAGGAAAATATGCGTATGGAACCCAGTAGGTTAGACTTGACGACCACCTGAAGGTTAGACTTGAAGACCACTACTCTAGATGATCTACTGACTATAAAATAACCTAAGAAAGTTATCTTATTCCTAGACAAGTTGTTTATAGCTGTGTTAGTCCAAAAGTAAACGCCAAAAAGCCAAGAATACAATCAACGTAATACCTTTTATTAGGACCTTTAAATTGTCATTGTTCTTATAAAAGGAATTATATGGGATGTGTATCTTATTCCTAAACGTTCTCAATAGAATAATATTACTTATACAGTTGTTTCTTGAAAGTGTCTAAAGTGTCTAAAGATGGGATCAGTACAATATCACAGAAAGTGTATTTCATTTGTTATTATTTGTTATTCAAAGATCCTTGAGTCTCACAAGAGATATAAAAAGTGTTGGGCTATTTTGTGCCATCTAGAACCCTGAAATGTTCTACATGTGTAATTCAGGACTAGCTACATTTGATTCATAGGGTCTGATTAGATGATACATTAAATATGAGCATAACTCAAATTTCATGTGTGACCCAGGACTCACCATAAATATGGGGGGTGGGCAAATTGCCTTCTGAGTGTGGCACAGTAATAGTAGGAGCTTCAGCATTCCCTGCCTGCACACTTTTGCTAGATAAAAATGGCCATAGTGGTAGGGTGTTTGGCCTGCAGCTTTGCCCTGTGGCCATTTTCTTTTAGTGAAAACATGCTGGGTGGAAGGGAAGGTATGCTGAAACCCCTCCTACCATCGCACCACACTCAGGAGTAGATTCCCCCCAATCCCAGGTCACATGTAAAACACGAGCTGGATTAGGATTTCCCCCAAGCTATGTCATGTTCAATGTTTCATCTAATTAGACCCTTAGATGTCTAAAATCCAGGTATTTCTTTATGGCTTCCTTGAAATGGGGACTTACATTGTACCCTAAAATAGCACTGTTACACTAGCTACGGTAGAAAATTTGGTCCTACTGTAGCCTAAAGAACCTAGAACTCAAGAAAAGTCTGAAGAGGGGGATTAAATTAATATTCAAAAGTGAGATTCTGAGGTTTACGTTAGCCATTTCTGTAACACAGCAAGCCAAAGTAAACATCGAATGGCACGGGAGTTTTTTTTGTTCTTCAGTCACACTGGCAGACTTTGAAGTGAGAGACTTATGGTAGTAGCTTGGAATATACATCTGTGCTTACAGATTTACCAGATTTTGAATAAAACAATCTAATGACACAGTCACAAATGCTTTGAATGTGTTTGCGGGATGATTAGACATGGGCTGCAATCCCATATACCTTTACTAGAGAATTAGGCTGGTCTACACATGGAGCAAAATGAGGTCATCAGTTCCTGATGTGATCCTCAGCTTCACATTTTTGCATAAAAGAAACCTCTCTGCAAGTAAAAAACTAACATGAAAAGTTTTAGCCCAGATTTCATCTTTTTGGTACTTCACCTTTTGTTTTACTTACAAAGCTTTGGGGGAAGAGGTTTGTTGTTAACAACAGAGAACACAAAAAATGGTATCCTACAGTCTGAATAGGAGTACGTCTGTTTCTCCAGATCCTGCAGCTGCATTGTTCTGCGCATATAGTCTAGGCCAAAGTGCTGTTTTGAGTACGCATGTTTAGGAAAGTGCTGTGGAATTAACAGAAATGTTATTACTGTATTGTCTTTACTGTTTTTGCAACCGGAGTCATAAACAGCAAAAAATGTTATTACTGTTAATGTAGGAGTTATTTTTGTATTCACTCCCCGGGGCTTCTGAAAGAGATAGGGGAAATAAACCCTAAGAAAGTGTCCTGGGGAAGTCACATTGGATTTACACAGCACATCTATTTTGTTACAGAACCCTCACTTTTTTCCCTAATGGGATGTGTGCAAAAGAAATTCTTAGGCCAGGGTGCCCTTTATTTCTGGCTTTGTAATCAACAAATTTCCTAATGGTGATTTTTCATGTTTGCTTAGAGTGCAGCTAAACCTTCACAGGTCCCACCGCCTTTAAATGGGAACTGCAACTATCAGACAACAACCCTTCATTCTGAAGTTCTTTGCTTGAAATACTGTGGTTTCACATGTTGTTATAGCCTAAACAAATATATTTGTAAAAAAAGAAAAAAGCCACTGTTTTAAATGAAACTGAATTTAAAACAGTACTCAAAGAAATTTGGTAACAGGCATTATGTTTGTATAAACAAAATGTAAATACAAATTGTTTTTGTGCAATAAGATCAGTATCATGAAACAGAAGTACAAGGTACCAGGGGAAAGAAAAAACAGAAATTATTAGAGCATATTGCTGAATAAAAATTGCAGTTCTTTCTACTACTTTTTTCCCCTGTGTGCTTTAACTTAAGTTTTTGACTGAGAGGAATGTCTCATTCAGGATCTTAGCCTATTTGTATAGTTGATAAGGTTTCTGTATTGAAGTCCCCTTGTGACACTGTTTGTTTGCACTTTTGAAGCTTAATCTTGAAGAAGATGTTGTGAAAATTAACATCGACTGGAGCAAGTTTCAACATACATCAGCACTCCAGCCCGTGTTGCTCTTTAGTGCTCTGCAGCAGCATATTTTAGATTTGCAGGTAAATGGTTTATTGTACACTTTGAAACCCAAGAACTCATCCTTCAGTGCAAGCTTGCATGCTGCAAAATCTCAGCTTCTAGGTTAGGACTCCTGGATAAGAAAATGGTGCGATCATTTTGTGCATTTCAGGTTCCACTGAGCTTCCTAAAGGACTTAAAACCTATTATCTAAAGCGGTTATCAGAAGAGTTATGGGAATTGCATTGTAGGTTACACTGGGTAAGTAGACTGTACAAATGCAGTCCTGTTGATTTGTGCGCTTGCATTGTAAATGCAGTACATTTCCATCTGTGGTGGGTTATAATTAAGCAATAACACGGCAGGTGTGTGTCATGCTATGATAATGATTCCATGCGTTGGGTGAGTTCTGCGGTTCGTGGAGTGCTTTCAGTGGATCAAGAAGTGGCATTATCCCAGCGTGAAATATCCTGGTATGTCTCTGCAATTAACCATATTTTCAGCGGGTTTTTTTTATTTCTAAGTAACTTCTTAGACATTTAATGTTTCATCTCATCAAGTAACCAATTGCTGTTACATCATTTTCATTTGACTTTTTAAAAGCTGTATTAACGTTAATTCACTCTACTTAGCTGCTTTATGTTGTCATCTTGGTCAGCTGATAGCATAAGTCTTTTTGCTTCTGCTTGGTGCTATAATACAAATATGTTTATAACAGCATTACCTTACTGCTGAATAAAGTTGTTAGGAACATCTCCTGCATAAGGCACAAATTGGAAAAAGCCAGAATGCTGTTGCCTATCTCCCATTTGTTCTCGCAGTGCTTGGATAGCAGAAGTTTCAAAATGCTTGTGCCTTCATTTAAGAATCTATGTTGTTTCAAAATAAAAAATGGAAGATTTTTTTTACAATTAATGGGGTAGCAAAGGAAAAAGAAGATTTTATTTCATAACTTAGTGTGCCAAATAATAGTGTAGCTTTCTTAAATAACTGTATTATTTCTGTTTCAAAACGAATACATTTCAGTTAGTTGTGTAAAATGCAAACTTTTAAGTTCAGAGTGTTTATACCTCTTCTAGTGTAATTGAGTGAGGGAAGGGAACTATTGATATAGTTAATATTTTCTGTATCTTTAATTGTTGCCAGTTTTACAAGTATTAATCATTTAAATAATATGAGAAAATAAATAGTATTTATTTAGCTTTCTCTGGGATTTGGCTGTGTTGAGAGAAGCACACGTCTGGAGCACAGTGTTTGTATTCTCTCATGCATTTTGGATGGCTGCTGTTTCAAGTGGAGACATTGCCAATGATGTAGTGTTTAAAGCAAGAGCTTTAACAGAGTGAGAGTCCTGGCTCTTGTGTTAAGAAGGAAAAATACTTAAGCCTTAATGTTCTGAGTAAGCAGTTGAATGACATGTAAATTAAGTGGCATTGGTGCCAAAGGCTGATGCTTTGATTTGGTACAAAACAGATGAGTAACAGGCAGATTTGCTCAGATAGGCTGGACCCTCCAGAGAGAGGGTTTTTTTTCATACGTAGATTAGTAAAAGGCACTGATCAGGAGGGCAGTGAAACTTGGAGATGCTATATTTTAATTCCAATTTGATTGGATTACATATACAAAGGTAATAGCATATGGCCTCTGCAATTATTATAAACCGTTTGGTTTAAAATTCTGGTTTTAAAAAATATTCTGTCAGTTTGATCTCAAGTCTTTCTTTTTTTCCTTTCTTTTTCTTCTTTTTTTTTGCCTAGCCATTTATAGAAAAACTCCAGTCTTTGATTAAAGAAAAAAGCACTGTGCCCACTGATGATTCTAGTAAGACAGAAGGCAGAAAGTGTGAGACTAATTCAAGTGTAATAGAGAGAGACGGGCAGATGGAAGTGAAAGATACAGGCTGTGGGTCTGCAAGCCCAAAAAAGATGTATGCTGATTTCGATCCAGAAGTGGTCCAGATAAAAGCTAGGAAAGCTGAAGTAAGTTACTCTGGGGCCATTTTCCCCTACTAGTCTAGCCAATTCTTTCGCTTTGAATGGCAATAATGAAATCTAAATACAAGTTGTTCCTGTTACCTGCAGATTGACAGACGAATATCAGCCTTCATTGAAAGGAAACAAGCTGAGATCAATGAAAATAACGTCAGAGAATTTTGCAATGTTATTGATTGTAATCAAGGTAACTATCCAGTCAGAGTTTAATTTTCTTACTCCTCCAAGCATGATTTTTCACCCCTTATTTTGATCATCTCTTTAAGAAAACCTTTTTGTAAAAAAAGCAAAAGTAGATTTTTTAGTATAATATAAAAGTTATTTGTAAGGCAAAATGCCGAGAATATCTTCTCACTTTTTACAACACCATAATCCTACACTTAGCTGAGTCCCAGAGGTTTAAGAGAACTTATTTCCAATTTAAATGTTGTATGTATTCTGATATAGTCCCACTGGGATGCCTAGGGTTCAGCTGTACAACTGATTTGTAAACTAAACTATCTCCCTGAGTATAGTCAGAATCGTACTGAAGAACAGGTATTTAGTTTGTTGGGCTGAGTATCCTAAAAGCAGATAGGAGGGATTACCCCTTTCCATGATATGCTTTGTAATGAACATTCAAAATAAATCCAATGTGGGGTTTTCTTTGTTTGTTTCTCACTCATCATGAGGGTTTTCTGAATCTGGGTGACTCCTCCAATCATCCCCAGAATGCCTTTTCTTGGAGAAAATGTCTACAGGATAACTAACGGTCCGTGGTGTCCTTTAGAAGATGTAAGGACTGTATTCTTGGATGAAGTAACCTGAACCCAATGTGAACATTAGCAGCAGTGACTCTTCTGCACACTGTCTGTTCCTTGTTTAGATCTGTTAGCCTGCTCTGGTCAGGCTTAAGAATGTAGGTTTAAAAATAATAACACTAATTTTCACTTACTTAAAAACCTCCTTAGAAAACAGCTGTGCTAGAACTGATGCGGTGTTCACACCTTATCCAGGATTCAAAAGTCATATAAAAGGTAAGCAGTACTATTTACCATTGCTGTCATCATTCTAAGTGAGAGGTTTTGTCCTATAAAATAATTTTGTAAAGGAAGGATAAACCACACAATTAGTATGACAAGAAAGGACTGTAAATTTTATTAGGTGCTTGAGCCAAGCAGCAACGCTCTGTAGGTAGATGCAATACATTGCTTCACAGTAGAACGTAGCACCTCTCTCTCCCTGAGACACAGGCTGAGGGGATGTATGCCTAATCATATCAAAGTTTATCTGGAAGTGAGGTGCCACTGAATTCATTGGGCTTTATTCCTAAACTTGTGCACTAGGTGGCCATTTTAGTTTGTTTTATAATTCAAGAGCAAGCATCTTATATAGCTGTGTTAGAAATATTTTGCCATCAGTTATTCAAAATTGGCTTTGCTGAAACAGGTACTAGAAATGTGGGTGCATGTGTAGTTTTCATTAAAGAAACTCTCCAGCTGCAGTCCTGTGCCTCATTGAACTCAGTGGGACTTGCTTTGAAGTCAGTGTGACAAGATACCAAACTAAACATGACATCCTTGTTGCTGCCACAAGGATGCCACTGTCATTTTAAAGTCATTTAAAAGTATCACAAGGGCAGTGTGGCATGTCGAGGCATTCCCCCCCCCCCGTTACTTATCAAGTGATGAAGTGGATGCTCCCCAATTTTTAAATGACATTAAAATGGTGGCAGTATCCTCATGGTGGCCATTAGGACACCATCATGTCTAGTTTGGCACTATGCTGCTAGCATTCAAACAAAAGGCAGTGGGTTTGATGCAGCAAGCTGTCACTGGAAGCTGTGATCAGCATGGATCTTTCCTTCTTTCTAGACCCATGAGGAGTTCCTTCTTACCCTGGGGAAGTTGAGTAGAAAGTGGCAAATGCTGAGGGGGTGTGGCAAATGAGGAAGGACCACAATCCTTGCACGTACATATTGCTGGATCCAACCCTGTGGCATGATTTACAGATATAGCAGTAGAAAAGAGCAAGAGTCCAGTAGCACCTTAAAGACTAACAAAATATGTGGCAGCATGTGAGCTTTCATGAGTCACTGCTCACTTCTTCAGATACAGCTAGAATGGGAGTCCATCTGTCCTATTTATTGGAAAGTGGAGTGATTTCAGATGCCAAATGGCATTAGCAGGCAAATGATGATAACAGGTGAATAACAATCACAGACGTGATTGGATTTAGGTGAGATATGCAGAGGGGTAATAGGTGTGGAGAAATCAGCATTGATAATGAGACAGGAAACCTAGGTCTTGATTCAATCCAGGTAGATGGCTAACCATCTTGAAATATAGCAGTAAACAGTGGTTTTCCACTACATAAAGGAACCCGGGGGATCCTGCTGTAACATATATCCCACTAATTAGGTTTATGCTTTCATAACAAATCAGATCTTGCTGTTTTCTTGGAACTAATAAACTACAGTTTATACTCCCCCTTATGTTTACCAACAGTGGTTTGATACTAGTTTGCTTGTTTGGATGTAGTACATAAGAAGAGTCCTACAGCATCAGCTGAAGGTAGCAAGAAAAGAGGAAGACCCGACATGAGATGGATTGACTCAATAAACCAGTTTGGTGTAGTGGTTAAGAGCAGCGGATTCTAATCTGGAGAAACGGGTCTGATTCCCCACTCCTCCACATGCAGCCAGCTTGGGTGACCTTGAGTCAGTCACAGTTCTCAGCTGCTCTCTCAAGAGCAGTTCTGTTAGTGGTCTATCAGCTCCACCTACCTCACAGGGTGTCTGTTGTGGGGAGAGGAAGGGAAGGAGATTGTAAGCCGCTCTGAGACTCCCGTGAAAGGCAGAGTATAAATCCAACTCTTTTTTGTCTTCAATAAAGGAAGTGACAGCCCTCAGTTTGCAAGACCTGAGTAAGGCTGTTAATGAAAGGACATTTTGGAAGGCATTAATTCATAGGGTTGCCATAATTTGGAAGAGACTTGACAGCACTTAACACGCACAGCATGAGACTGGTGGTTCATCTGGTCCAGCAGCCTGTTTCTCACAGGGGTCAAACTCAGCCAGTTACTCTGGAGCCCAACAGAAAGAGCATGGAGGCCTTCTCCTGATGTTGCCTCCTAGCATTGGTATTCATAAGTCTGCTGCCTCTGGATATTATATTATATATAATTACAATGTCAAGAATAATTATAGCAAAGAATTGGAAAACAGATAGAATACTGAGCAGAGAGGAGATGATTACGAGACTTTTTGAAATAGTAGAAATGGATAAGCTGAATATGTTCTTAGTGGGAAAAGCAGACAATAACTTTAACCAAAAATAGCAAAAAGTCAATAAATGGATTGAAGAAAATGTTTAGTGTAACCCTAACATGTTGGAGAATAAGATATACTTGGATTTTATGTTATGTCTTTATGGAAAATTGAAAATAAAATTATTTTTAAAAATGGATATGGATGTTCCCTTTAGTCACTATGGCTGGCAGCCATTGAGGGACATATCCTCCATGAATCAGTCTAGCCCCCTTTTAAACTTGCTTGTGGCTATCACTATATCCACTGGCGGAGAATCTCACTACTTATAAAGAAGTATTTCTTTTTGTCCTGATAAATCATAGTATGATGTTGCATCTGAGCCAGAAAAAAGTGACTTTTCACAAAACTGGAAAACTAATTAGTTGGCCATGGGCATGAGATGGCGAGAAGAAGAGATTGGATTTATACCCGAAGGGAGTCTCAGAGCAGTTTACAATCCCTTTCCCTTCCCCTCCCCACAACAGACACCCTCTGAGGTAGGTGGGGCTGAGAGAGCTCTCTCAAGGACTGCTGTTGAGAGAACAGCTCTGAACTTGTAACTGACCCAAGGTCATACCAGTGCGTGTGGATGAGTGAGGAATCAAACCCAGCTCTCCCAGATTAGAGTCCACACTTCTAACTGCTACACTTATGAATACCAATGCTACGAGGCAACATCAGGAGAAGGCCTCCATGCTCTTTCTGTTGGCCTCCAGAGTAACTGGCTGAGTCTGAGTAGCAGCAACATTTATTTATTTATTTATTTAGATTTATGGGCCGCCCTCCCCGCAAGCGGGCTCAGGGCGGCTAACACAAGGGCACACGTGCCAATATAAAAACATAGTAAAACAGACTAAAACAACATTTCTAATATACAAATAAAGTGCTTCAAGCTGATCATGATCTTCAGTTTAAAGATGGTGGGGATGGTATCCAGAATCACGTCTTAAACTCAGTGGTGCCCACACGTCGTAGTACTGCAATGTGATCGATCTCAGGGCCACTCCTGCACCCTGTTGTTCCAAGCTCGTTGGTGGTGGTGGTAAGCCTGGCGGAAGAGCTCCGTCTTGCAGGCCCTGCAGAACATGTGACCTTAAGGATCTCCCCCCCCCAATATTCAAGCACATATGAACCACGCATATGAGTGGTAGTAAATGTAGTTGTAGTCAAGTTGTGTTCCATTTCTAAAACTTGTGGCTCGTTTTTGTTTTTGCTAGATGCTCTGTGAAGCCTTCAGAGAGTAACTATTCATTATATCTTAGTGAGAATAGTTGCCTAGATAGTAAAATTTATAATGTTTCCTCTTTCTTCATGGTTAGACTGTTTACCTGAGTACTTCTTTTAAACTATGGCTGCATTCAGAAGCTACAGTAAACCTCATTTTATAAAGCATAGCTTGAATAAAACTTCTGGCTTAGCATGACATCTGAATGCAGGCTGCCAAACAAACTATGGTTTGTAGGTAGATTGTAAACAGGAATTTGAGAGCATAGTTTGTCAGTGGGGGATATTTGTTGGGCTGTTGTGAGATGTTGGACCCAGCATACATTTGAGGAGGACAGTGCACAGGAGCATGGAATACTTGTCATCCCCCCCCCCAGCATAATGTGTGCAAACTACAGGAGTAACAAGTCAGTCAGAAAAAAAATACATGAACAGCATGGAACGAGTACATTACACAGTATAGCTGCTGCTGGAATAATAATAATAATAATAATAATAATAATAATAATATACTTTATTGTCATTGTACATAGTACAACGAAATTAAAGATGCAATCATTTTGG